ACTTTCTCTTGAAGATGAAGGCGATTAACAAAAGATAGGCATTACAATGACAAATGGCTCATCCAGCTCATCTTCCTATCATACTAAAACAATCTGAATATTACATTACCAGGGACATCAGAAAGCATTCCTCAGAGTTACAAAGAAAGGCAAAGTTTCTACACCAAACTCCACTCATTTCGGGGGAGATGTCAAACTGGCTGTTCCTTTGTATCAACTTCCCTGTGGAACTGGGGTTGAAACTTAAACGATTATTTTAAGGTGTGGATTCCTGAATCTCAGACTAGTCAAAAGGACACTTTTCTGAATTGCCTTAGACAAGTAATTTGATGTGGCTATCTTGGACTTCCAGTTCTATTAGGAAAGGGATGGTCTTTTGTGCTTCAGGCTCAAGTAGCCTACTTTTTTTTCAGCTAATAGGAACCATTCAGTACATTATCATCCTTGTACACGTGACTAGCCAAGCAATTACTTAGTCATATGTGTGGACCTCCCAAAACCCAATCATTCAATAAGATAATTTTCCTCGTTGGTTCAGTCATCCTGAAAGGACAGAACAGGTTCAATCCAGCCTACATACATCAAGTGAATCACAAAACTATTTTATGAAGGAAGATACCATTTTCACTTGGAACTATAATATAAGGGACCTCAAGAGGCATTTAGTCCAACTTTCCTTTAACAGAAGAGGCCTTGAAAGGCTGAATAAATTGGTCAAGGTCAAACAGGTAGGAAGTGAAAGGAGTGGGATCTGAAACCGTAACTCCTTACTCCAAATTCACTGTTCTTTCCACTGCATGACCCTGGTCAAGAGGGAACCAAAGCTTTCTGGATTAAGGAAAATTAGGATGGGCAGTGGTAGACCACAGCTAGATAGCAGAATTTAGAAAGTTTGGAGTCGCCTAATTTTGGATGAAGAATAATTTATTTTGACATCTTTAATTAATTGCCTTCCCTTGGGGTATTATTTCTAAATTTATATGCCCTCTTTTCACTTATAGAAATCCTAGAAAATGCATTTCCATAGTCTAGAGCAAGGGTGGGGAAACTGCAGTCTCAAGGCCACATATGGCCTCAAGGCTTCAGGTTCCCCATCCCTGGACGAGGCTCTAGCAGAAACTGGCTGACTGTTACTAAGACCTTTGTCCTCCAGGGGACTTCCTACTAAGTCCAGTTTTGAATGGTATTTCTTGTTTTCCATATCTCAAAAGAGGTAAAATAATAAATATTCTCTGGGCCCAGATTACCAGCTCTACTCATTCCACAAGTTAGTAGGTTTTAAAAGATATCACTCAGATCAAAGAAAGAAGAAAAGGACACATTAGTACAAAAATAATTATATATACTCTTTTTGTGGTATCAAAAGACTGAAACTAAGGGGATTCCCAGCAATTGGAATACTATCATCATACTAAATGACAAAAGGGAAAGTTTTAGAGATATCTGGGATGATATTATCAACTGATGCTATCTGAATTGAACAGAACCAGGAGAACAATGTGTATAATAACACCATTATAAAAATGAACAATTTTAAAAGGCAAAATACCTTTGATCAATACCAATGACCAACCATGATTCTAGAGGGCCAGTGATACAGAATGGTACCCACCTCCTAACAGAGAGGAAAGAGACATAAAATGCAAAGTAAGTAATACATTTTCTTGTACATGGCCAACATAGATATTTGTTTTACTTGATTTTGTGCATATTTGTTAAAAATGTTTTGTTTTTTCTCTTTTTTCCCCTATTTGCATAGGGGAAGGTGGGAAGGAGAGAAAATTAATGCTTGTTATTGAAAAAAATGAAATTTAATGTTTTAAAAGCCATTGCTTAGGTGCTCTTGGGAGAGAAGTCTTCTTTAATTCAATCCTGAACTTTTTAGGGGGGCATTGGGGCCCTTAATCTATGATTTCATCATTAGGGAGATTCTTGCAGGCTCTCATCTATATTTTAGAATCATAGAAAGTTGCCTGGGGCACTGAGAAGTTAAGTCACTTGCCCATGATCCCACAACTGGTAGTGGAGGAGAAGAGACTTAAGCCCAAGTTTTCCAAGGCCAGCCTTTCTATTATTCCATGCTCCCTCTCCTTATAAAATCTAATTTGACAGCTTATTTGAAGCACAAGCTTCCCCTCCTAACAGAGAGGTGATGGGCTCAGGTTTAGAATTAGGCATCTATTTTTTGAACAGAACCAGTGCAGCAATTTGTTTTGTTTAGCTATGCATATTTTTGGTTTTCATCTGGAGGAAAACTGTAGGGAGAAGAGAAAGAAAATTAAGTTTTGCTCTTGAAAAAAATTAATTTTCAAAAGAAAAATAAACACAAGGTAAAAAACTGACAGTCTCTACCTGCAATAAAAGGAAGCTCACACCTCTCCACCAGACACAAAGCCCACAAAATTTTCCAAATCAATCCTATAATCACAGAATCCTCAAGTTGAAAGAAACTTCAGGTGTGATCTGGCTCTACCCCTACTAACCAACAAGGATTTACTGAGTCCCTCCTATGTGCCTAGCACTGGGCTAGGAAAGAAAAAAAGGTCAGTGCTCCAGAGTGCAAACTACTTTTTTTTTTAACTTTTTGATAGTTCCTTGGATTTCTGAATCACTCTCTAATTGTCAAAGTACCTGGACAGTGATTAGTTTAGCCTCCCTGTGAGGGAGGTGGGGCAGACATCCATAGCCCCATTTTACACATGAAGAAACAGAGATTAAGAAAGGTTATATGGCTAACAGTAGGGTGGCATCTCCCCTACCTCCTGGTCTAGTGCTTTACCATGACACACTGCCTTGAGTTCCATGACTCAAAGGAGAAAAAGGTGGAGGTGCCCATAAAAGTAGTTGAAGGTGCATCCCCTTATGGTCATAGAGTCAGGGCTCCAGAAACCTCAGCTTCAGTCAGTGAAGCACTGATTTCAAACAAACTACACCATGACCTGGGCTCACCTAGGAAGTAGGGACTTCCATGTTTCCTATGTGCTGAACTTGGAGCTACTGGTGCCCATCACAGCCCCTCCTATCTCCTTTATGAAGATTTACTTAATAATTATTGGTGGAGAACTACATGCTTTAAAGTCCCATCCTTGAGTCCCCATAGGACTTCTTGAAGAACCTTGCATAGAGCATAAAATGCTGAAGATCAAACAAGTTCTAATCAAAATGTCTGATTCTAAGTCCGATTCTTTATCTGTCCAATGGAGCAGAAGAACCAAGCTATATTAATTCACACCAAGAGCAACTAGGTGGCACAGTGGATAGACCACTAGGCTAGGGTTCAGGAAGACTCATCTTCTGAGTTCAAATCCAGCCTCAGACACTTACTAGTTGTATGACCCTGGGCAAGTCATTTAACTTTTGCCTCAGTTCCTCATCTGTAAAATGAGCTGGAGAAGGAAATCACAAACCATTCCAAGTGTCGTTGCCAAGAAAACTCCAAATGGGGTCACAAAGAGTCAGACCTGACTGAAACAACTGAACAAAAACAATATCCTCAGGTGATTAATTAATGTTAAAAAAAAACACACCAAGGAATCACGGTTACCTGGTACCAGTTCTAAGTAGAAAGAGCCTTAGATTTAGAGTGAGGACCTGCATTCAAATCCTGGCTCTGATACTCATCCAAATGACTTTACACAAGTAATTTCATCTCTTTGGGCCTCTATTTCCTCAGGTCATGTCCATCTGATGATGGTCTATGATCTTTGAGTTAGAAGATGCCTTAAATGACCCTTAAAAGTCACCTCTGGGAACAGTATATCCCTAAAACAAATAGCTTTCGAATGGGGAAGAATAAAAAGAGTAAAGAATGTTGCTGCATTTAGTATTTTAAAAGAATAAAGACAATTGCACATTCACAGAACTGGTCATTAAACCACTTTGCAAAATACATTGACACTTCACTCTGCTTAAGTCCCTTATTTGTCAACTTCTAGCTGTCTGGGACACAGATGGGGAACCAAAAAAAAGTATGCATAAAGGGGTATCTTTATGTATGTAGCTCATACATAAGAGGGCTCCTCACGCCTTGTTTACTTTGACTCTGCTCCTAGTTCTAATGATCCCATTGATAGAGCAGGTTTCCCTGCTCAGGCTAAATTAGAAGTAATGAAAAGGGGTGTGTACAGCTGGAAATGACAGCTGTCATCATGCTGACAGCTTGAATTTGAGAAAGGAAAAGAAAAAATAACTATAAAAAGAAAATAAGAGAATTTTTAAAAGCACAGCAGTAGTGTGCAGCCCTATATCCCCTAAGGGCATTTCAATAGAACAAATGATGTTCATAATGATGGGCCTGAATCATCAAGAAAAGTTGTTAGTTGTTAGTTTCGGTATTTCTCGCCTTAAGAAGACAGGGAAGAGTGAAATACTCCAGAAAGAGTTTCACTCAAATATTTTTTTAATTGAGAGCTTAAAGGGATAAAGCATCAGTTACCTAGAAAATACACATTCAATACTTAATTCCCCAATGGTGCCCAAATAAATGAGGCACTACTGGGTATCCCAGTGATCACTTGGATTCAGCAGATTTTATTTGTCTTGTTTGCTCAAACTAGTTTGAGTGAATAGCCATAGAATAAAGGGGAAAAAATCCTTCAACCAACAGAGTAACTGCTTCCAGATCCTAAAACTTTAGAACTGGAAGAGACTTTAGAGTTTATCTAATTCAACCTCCTTTGGGGAAACTGAGGCCCATATAAGTGAAGTAACTTGCCCAAGGTCACACAGATGTAGAGAACTGAATGCAGCTTTTCTGATTCCTGGCCCATTGCTCTTTTCCCCAATACTACAGTCAAGCCTGTGATTTTTACAGATTGAATTAACTCAAAAGCCGGAGAAGTTCATTGATTTCCCTCCAGTCAAAGAGGAACTTAGGTCTTCTTTTGGTTTTTAGGTCATTTAAATTTCCACTATACTACTAAGGATCTCTTTCCCTTCCAGTCTTTGAAAACCTCCCCTGGCCTTCCCACCATGGGTCTCCAGATACCCCCTGCCCTCACCTGCAGAAAACAGTGCCCGGAAGGGGCATGTTCAGCTATGCTGGCATTGTACACCTGTCGCTGGAAGACCGGCTCGTTGTCGTTCACATCCTCCACAGTCACACTCACCCAGCAGGTGGAAGAGAGAGGAGGCTGGCCGAGGTCCTGAGCCACCACTTGCAGCCCCACAGCCTCCTGGACCTCCCGGTCCAAGGTCCGGGTAGTGCTTATCACTCCGCTCTCTGGGTCCACAGCAAAGGCCAGAGAAGGGCATCTCGCTCCAAGCGCTGCTTCTTCAGGGCTGCAGTCATTCGGGGGCTGGACCTGGGTTAGCACATAGCGCACCCTGGCCTGGTCAGTGCCTGGCTCGTCTCCGTCAGTTGCGCTGAGACGGAGCACTGCAGTGCCGGGCGCCGCGGCCTCAGACACGGAGGCATAATAGTGCTCTTGACTGAAATGGGGTACCTGGTCGTTGACGTCGGTGACCCTAAGCAAGAGGATCTCCTGGGTGCTAAGGGGCGGGGACCCTGAGTCTGTGGCCACCAGTAGCAGCTCATACTGGCTGCGGCTCTCCCTGTCTAGGGACCCCTCCACGCAGAGGAAGAACACATCCCGGGAGCCTCCCGGGTGCAGAGCGAAGGAGCCCACGCCGCCCTCCAAAGACAGTGTGATGCCTGCGCTGCCACCTTCTCTACCCACTACAACCTCGGTGGCTTCCTTCTCCTCAGGGTCCCCATCCAGATCGGACACGGAGACGCGGGCTACATAATCCCCGCGCCTGGCGCCCTCTGACACCTGAGCTCCGCCGCCTTCAGTTAGAAAGAGCAAGTGTATAGTGGGCCGGTTGTCGTTCACATCCAGCACTGCAATGGATACCAGAGCGCTGGCGGCCTCAGGTTCCGCGCCTCCGTCCCGGGCTTCCACAACCAGCTGGTGCCAGGACTGGGACTCTCTGTCCAGCGGCCGGCGCACTCGCACCAAGCCACTCAGCTCCTCCACAGAGAAGTAAGCCCCGTCGCTGTCGAACCCGCCCGCGGAAGGCTGCCTGGCGCGGAGGCTGTAGCGCACTTCTCCATTGGGCCCCAAGTCGAGGTCTGTGGCATGCACCCGACAGACCGCGGTGCCCGGCGGGGCGTCTTCGGGCACAGTGGCCCGGTATTCACTCTGGTTAAAGACCGGCGGGTTGTCGTTCTCGTCCAGTACGCGTACCTCCACTTGCAGGCGGCCAGTGAGGCGAGGGCTGCCACCGTCCCATGCCTCTATCATCAGTTTGTGAGCAGAGGCAGCCTCACGGTCCAGACGCCGCACCAGTACGAGGTCCAGAGGCTCCAGGGGTGAGGAGGAAGAAGAGGAGGAGCCCGACGAGGAAATCTGCTGCCCCGGGCCTCCGTAGCGCAGCTGGAAGAAGTGTCCCTCGGTGTTGTTGGTGAGTTCGGGAGGCTGCAGCAGGGTGTAACCTTGGGTGCTAAAAAGCCCGGCGTCTGGGTCCCGGGCCCCGGGCAGGCGGAATGCTGTGCCCGGGGGGCTGAGCTCGGAGATGTCTAGTTGCAGGGAGTCACTCGGAAAACGGGGTGAGTGATCGTTCACGTCGTTTACTGTAATCTCCACCTGCACCACGGCGCCCAGCAGCGTGGCCGCCACGAAGCTGTAGCGGTCCCGCCACTCACGGTCCAGGCTCCGTGCCGTGCGGATGATGCCCGTGTCTGTGTCCACGTGAAAGTCGTCCAGCAGCGGGGAGTCGCCCGAGTCCTCAGACAGGAAGAAGCCGTCTCCCACCCCCTGCTGCTCACCGGGCAGCCCGGCACGGATATCCCCAACCAGAGTATCCGGGGGGAGCCCCTCGTCCACCGCTAGGCTGAGGTTGTACACCTGAGCGGACGAGCCGGAGGCAGTCCACAGCCACATGTGGAGGAAAAGCCCCAGCAGGTAGCGCAGCCGGGTAGCCAGAGTGCAAAGCTGTCCACCTCTGCAGCCGCGTCTCCGCTTCTGGCTTCCTCTCTCGGCACGGAGCGGGAGCTGCTCCCTAGCCAGAGCATCCCATTGCAATCCTCGGCACGTCTCCCTTCTCCTGGGGAACATCAGGCGTTGCCTAGTCGGGATTTCCTGCTGCTGCAGCGCCTTGCACCTCCTTCTCCCGGGGGGGTTCATTTCTTCCTCCTCTGCTCACCTCAGTTCATCCGCTCTTTGGAAAACTGCTGTTTTATCTTCGTAGCTGTTAGGAAGAGCCAAGTGCTTCTACAGGGAGCCGGCGTTTCAGTCAAGGAAGAAAGAGTTTGTTTAGCAAATAGACAAACAGCAGTTCTGAGTTCTCAGGGCTGCACTTTGCAACTGGCAAAGTCTTCCTCTGCCTAGAGCATATGAAAGACTAGAAAGCTGCTGCTTCTGCTGCTGCCGCCTCTGCCCTCCTCTCCGGCTTCATCCCCTGGATTTTCTTAGATCGGTCTCATCTCGGTTTCTCCCTCTGCCGTTATTCCTTTTACATCTGTTCCTTGCTCTGCTTCGCTGGTTGTTTCCCCCTGGTAAAGTCAGGTGCATTATTTCTTTTGCCAGAAAAGGAGGAAATCATTTTAGCCGCGCGCACACTCGGGGAGGGAGAGGAGGAGGAGAAAGAGGAGGAGAAAGAGGAAGGGAGGGAGAAAGTTGGTGGCGGTGAATAACAAGTGTGTGAGTGAAGGGTTGGTGGGCGGGGAGGGACAGCTCCCAAGCAGTGCCTGCGGCTGCTTCTGCTGCTCCTGCTCGCAGAGCGGCGTCTCTCCTCCGCAGCAAGGAGAGCGAAGAGCGCCGCGCCCCCTCCTCTGCCGTCTACCCCTCCTCACCATGTGACTTCGCTCAGACAAGGGCAAACTCCAACCCAGAGAGCTTCGGCACTGCAGCAGGGCACTATTCCCCTGCTGTGGCTGGCCGCTAGACCCCTGTAGGAGGCAAAGTGCTGGGGTTAGACCAGGGAAGGGAAGAGGGAAGACAGCCCCGGGAGAACCAAGAGAATTGGACGAGGGATAGAAGGGTCAGGGCTGGGGCAGGCAGCCTTGCGTGCAAAGCAGTGATTTAGAACCGTGGGGAGCAAGCAGCCTTCTCCCCTGGAAAAGACAAGGCGCTTGGCTCCGGAAAGGGGGAGGGGGCTAGGGGCTCTAATCATTTTGGATAGCCAAACTTGTGTTCTGCATTTGGTGAGATAGATAGACTCGTCCCCAGCGGAAGGACAGATGGAGTTGAAGGAATAGCAGCACAGCTGGTGCGAGGATTATTATAGAGAAGGGTGGGGGGAGGGCAGGGCGGTCCTCCTGGGAAAAGCCTCCAAGAAAACCGAGAAGTCTGTGAAACACATGGGTGTAAACCACGGTTTATTATGCCGCGCTACTACTTAGCAATGTGTGAGTTTCTTGCTGAGCAGCCCCCACTCACTCTACCACCAGGAATGTCAAAGGAGAAAGTCTGTGAGCTCTTGTTATTCATTCATTGCAAGACCAGCTACAAGATTGCTAAAGTGTTGATATACGGAGATATATAGCATCTGGAGCTCCCCAAAATATATACAATCCTGAGAGCATCACTTCCCTACTGAAGCAGCAGCTAGGGTCCCTTTCTCTGAGGCTAAAGTTTTCCTTCGAGCAATAACCCTTACACACACACCTATACATTTTGAGAATCTTAGCTCAGCCTGAGCTGAAGCAGAATGGAAGCATTGCTCTGTCCCTTCAGGCATCCACAGAGTAAGGATTGAATCAATCAAACAGTAAACATGGATTAATCCCATGCTATGTGCCAGGGCTGAGCTAAGCGCTGGAGAGACAAAGAAAAAGCAGAAACAGTCTCTACCCTCGACAAGCTTACATTCTAATAAAGGAGGCAACATATATAGATCAGAACACAGGAGACAAAAAGTAGATGAAATGTAAATGGCACTAATAGTTGAACAGACCAGGAAAAGGTCTCTTGGAGGCATTTGAGCTAAGTCTTAAAGGAAGCCAGAGAATCTTCGAGTCAGGGATTGGGAAGGATTCCAGACATGAGGAATAGCCAGTGCAGAAGCACAGAGGGGAAATGGAATGTGCCCTTCTAGGAATAACTACTAGATCAGAGATCCTGGATCAGGAGTAGAGGAAGGTCTAAGAAGCCTTGGAAAGATAGAAAGGGGCCAGGTTACAAAGAGTTGTAAATACCAAACAAATGAATTTATGTTTGATCTTGGGGTTAATAGGAAGATCCTGCAGAATGAATCACACTCTAATAAAATCACTTTGACGATTTAGTGGATGATTTAATGGATGGTAAAAGACTTGAGGGAGACCAATGAAAGGGTTATTAAAATATTGCAGGTAAGAAATGATGAAGGCTGAGTGGAGAGAAGGATATATATATATATATATATATATATACGTATATGTATGTGTGTGTATATATATATATATATATACACATATGAGGTTGTAGAGAAAGAATTGCAAGAAATGGCAATTGATTAGGTGTGAGGGGGGAGTGGTGATGGTGAAATTTCAAGTCTGGCTGACTGAAAAGAAGGTAGTGCACTTTAAATTAATAGAAAAGTTCAGAAGAGGAGAGGGCTTGGATGGAAGATAATGAATGCCGCTTTGGCCACGTTGAGTTTGACAAATGGGACATCAGATCTGACCAAGAGTTGGTGTTGCAGGGCTGGAGCTCAGAAAACCCATCAGGGAAAGGCAAATAGATCCCTGAATCGTCTGCATAGACAGTCATTGAAACAATGGGATGAGATCACCAAGTAAGAAAATGAGAGACTATAGAAAGAAAAGAGAAGAGGGCTCACAACAGAGCTGTGGACAAGTGTCCTAGAATAGGGATGCCAGGCAAAGGCTGAGAATCTTTTATGGAATTAATGATTATCCATCGCTATGAAATGATTCCTATACATGTGAATGAGGGGAAGAGAAGGAATCACTTCCGAGAGCCATTTCTTTTCATTCAGCCCAGAGAAACAAAATGTATTTGACTATTACATCCACCAGTAATAATAAAACCTGTGTAACATACTGGTATCACCAAACTTGTTTTGTGTGTAAAGGTTGAACCAAAGAAAGTGTGTTGTATAATTTAGAAATGGTGAATATAAAGGAAGGTATGTAATTGTGAGTGACCATCCTGACATAATGGAGCCAGAAGTACTAGAAACTGAAGTTGCTTCTCGCATTTGTCGGCTCTATAACATTGGGCAAGACAATTTATCCATTGAGCCTTAGTTTCTTCAGCTGTAAAATGAAACTAATAATATTTGCACTTGACCTGCAGCCTGGCATAGAGGATAAAGGGCTGGTTTGGGTTCAAACCTCACATCTATAAAAGTATTCATTGGTAGAGTTCCTCACCAGATGTCCCTATGCCTATGAAATAACTAGTCTGGTCCAAATGTAACACATATATGTGTTTATATATATTTATATATGTTATATTTATTAAAAACATACACACATATGTATGTATAAATATAAGTATGTGTTTATATATACATATGCATTTTATCTCAAAAGTATTGTTGTGAGAAAGCTGATGTGGAAATATGAACTGTTTTTATCTGGTTGTTTGAAACACTGGAATCTTGCCATCAGGAACACACATTTAAATCAAGCAGAATTTCACAACACAGTGAATTATATTCAGTGAAGTTATTTTTGTCTCTCTTTAATATTCTGATGTGGCTTTCTTATTGAACAATGCTGGTCCCGTGGCTGAGACATTGTGTGATAGTGCAGTGGCTTCCTAGCCTTTGAGAATGAATACCCTTTTCTAACGTAAAAAATATTTTGTCAGCCTCCATATAGAGGATATACGATTGAGTATTCATTGATTAAGAAAGCATACCATACCATAAAGTTAGTCTAACTTCAATACTACTTTTAAATAAATCTTATTAATCACAATGTTTACATGCATGAGAAAAATAGTGATACATAAACGTACAAGACATTTAAGTTGGTCTACAGAAGGCATATTTGCTTATTATGAGTCTTAGTGCATATTTTGTAGGAACTCAAATGACATCACTTGTTTTACATATAGATTCTCATCCCCCTTGTATTAACTCTAAATTCCCTCAGGGGTCCTTCATCCACAGTTTGGGAACTTATGGTTTGCTGAGATCTTAACCTGAAGTCCATGAAATATATATAGATAGATAGATATATATATATATGTATATATATTTGATAACTACATTTCAGTATAATTGATTTCCTTTTGTAATCCTATGTACTTTATTTTGTGCATTTAAAAACATTATTCTGAGGAGTCCATAGGCTTTATCAGACTGTCAAAGGGTTCCATCTCACACACACACACACACACACACACACACACACACATTAAGAACCCCTGCTTAGTGAAAGGCTCATAGAAGCTGTAATCAGGCCATCCAGGTTATACTCTGCCACCAAACTAGCCATGTGACCTAAAGAATCACTTCCGCTCTCTGAGGGACAATTTAAGTGACTAGCCCAAGGTCACACAGCTAATAAGTGTCTGGTTTGATCTCAAGTCTTCCTGACTCCAGGCCCATCGTTCTAACTACATGCATAACAATTATGAAGGCCCTTTTTAGCCATAATATTCAGAGGCTACTAGGTGGCCTGGTCCTTGGAAGTAGAAGACCTGAATTTGAATCCTGCCTCAAACACTTATGAGCTATATGATTTTAAGCAAGTCACTTAACCTTTGTGTGTCAGTTCCCCCATGTGTAAAATGAGGATAATAATAACAACTACGTTGTTGTGAGGATCAAATGAGTTAATATATGTAAAGTACTTCACAAACTTTAGGGCACTTAAATACTATTTTTTTTTCTCATCAATTAGTAACCTTAAATAGATAAAGGTAAAAACTCATATATGGAGGAAAAGGTCCTAAAAGTCATTTAGTCTAGGCTTCTTTTTTGTTTGTTTCTGGGTTTTTTTCCTGAGGCATTTGGGGTTAAGTCACTTGCCCAGGGTCACACAACTAGTAAGTATCAAGTGTCTGAGACTGGATTTGAACTCAGGTCCTCCTGACTCCAGGGCTGGTGCTTTATCTTCTTTACCACCTAACTGTCCCTAGGCTTCTTACTTACATAGATGAAGAATCTCAGGCCCAAAGAAGCTGCTACTTGTCCACAGTCACACACATTTTTAGTATTTAGTAAT